TCCAGATAGCTTGGTTAGAACCTTTACTAATTCTTCTGTTGCTTGCCATATTTCAGTGGGTACTGCATCAGTTGTAGCCTTTTGACTTGGCAATGATCAGTGTGCTGATCTAATTTCATCTTCTAATACTACAGGTTCTAGTAAGTAGGGAATCTCTTTTCTTCTTGGCAATTTCCATGGTTTGTCCTGACATCCAGTTTGCTTTCTTCTCTTCATTTTTGGCAGTGTCTTTTCACATTCATCCTTAATGACTTCTTTAAGTTCATTCCATAATTCCTCTGCTTCTCTGTCAATGTGGTCAGGACTTCAAAGTGATTCGTGATGTCCTCCTTGAGAATGGTATTTAAGATCATATTGTGGAAACTGACTGGCCTTCTTCTTCTTTAGGTTAACTTAGAACTTGCACATGAGCAGTTCATGATCTGTTCTACAATCAGCATCTGGCCAGAGATGGACAAAGAATGTCATATTATTTACAGTCTCTTACATCCCATTCCCTGAGACAAGCTTTCACAGAACGTTTTCAAACACTGCCAACAGCCTAATTGGACAGAAGATGTAAAGGATTACCAACTACACAATACATATGTTTATGCATTTGTAATAACTCACAGGTGGAAGATCTGATCCATTACTTATTACATTGCAAATTATATCAGGAACCTAGAGCTATATTCATCATGCCTTTGTTAATCCAACTGAATCAGTCTAGTTTAGAAGAAAAACATCTATTTTCTGTTGACTGATATAGATGAACTTGTAACAAAACAAGTTGCATTGTTTGCAGTGGCCACAAGGAAGATGCAAAAGCAGATGTTGACAAATAGTGCTGTTACTATTAGAGGGGATGTATTGAACTGATATGGATTCTTAAAATTTTATACAAATTTTGCTAAAACCTATGGTTGCAAATAAATGTATATACAATAATATAGCCAATTTGATTTCTATATACTCCATCTGGTGATGGCCATGTATAGAGGCATCCTTTTGGTTGTTTGAAGGGAACTCATTTAAGATAATGTAAATGTTTAATTAGATTTAATTATTAGTATTTCTCTTGGCTCTGCTTACTTTGCAGAGTTCTCCTCTAGCATACCACTAAAGACCAGGTGTGAGTCAGGTCAAAAGAAGTTGTGCATCCCAGTTTTAAAGTTTTCAGGCTATAATTGTACCATGTGAGTAGAGTGTGGCTGCCGCATGGGATTTCCCCCCTGGGATTTTACTTACCACCAGTATATCTCTCTGACCCAAAATTTAAGGGTTGCCTTGATGATGCCAGCAAAACTTTTTTTGTCCCAGAAACATGCCAT